TTGTAACCTAAACAAAAGCTTAGCATCATTGATGACTCCCTCTGAACGCAGAGCTACCTTCCTACTTGCTTCTCAACACATGTTCCCTAGTATAATGGCCTTTCTCTATCAGAGCACTGCAGAAAAACACAAAACCCAAAATGGATTGTTTTTGAGTGGCAATGGCATGAAGGTGATCATCTTTGCAGAAGCAGGTCAGGTTACCACCTCTTTCTCCGTGAAGTGGCTGGAAGCTGGCCAGTTTGAAGAAACACCCTTTCATTAGCAGCCCAGCGCTTAGCAGCTGTGCCACCAAGGCTCCTTTGTAGTCCTCATTCTTCCAATTGTCCCTGCTCAACATTGACTTTGAGCCCTCTTACTAGTCTGGAACCTTCACTCCTCCAGATTTGTTCATTTTTCATCTAATAAACAAAACAAATACACATCCAATTATAACAGTCCCTCTGAAGTGTAGATTTCCCTAAAGTCACTCCCGGTCACTAACACCTTGCTCTGTTCCAGTACTAAATCTGCTGACCAGGTGGTAGGTCAATCCTGAAAACTGGGACGAACTTTCTGTGATGTCCCAAGTGTATTTTACATTGGGCTCCTTCCATGGCTGATTCATTGTTACATTTTTACTAAACATTTTCAGAATAAAGCCTCTACCCATTCTTCCTGATCCAACTTCGTATTTGTCCTCTCAGATTGGTCCACATTTGTTGCATTACAAAACCACTACCTTTCTATACCCGATTTCTTGACATTTCTTTTTTACTGTTGAGCCTCAATCAACTGTGCTTGACACAATGGATGTATGTATGGATTGTGATAAGAGTTGTACGAGCCCCCAATAAAATGGTCAACACACACACACACACACACACACATGCACACACAAAGAATAAGATAATGCATTTTGAAATCTGTGAAACAAAAAGGAATTATGAATCTGCTTACATTTCAGTGTGAGACTACATCAGGTTGCAGGCTAGTTGCTAAATCAGTGTGCGGGCTACATGTGACCTCCTTTGGCCACAAGTGGATAAGGACAATCCAAATCTCCACCAGCTGCCATAAGACAGAGATCTGGGTGGGCCAGGAAGCCTCCCTGCCACTGTTCTGTCCCCCTGTCCCAAGGTCTCAGTGGCACTTTGACTCCTCTACTGTGGTCCTTCTGTTCTTAGCATGACCTCTGTGGCCTCTACCCCATCAGGCAGTGATTGCAAATGTATTGCTCTGGTAACTTCTTCCTTGAGGCCCTGGAAATACTACCCTTCTGCTTCTAAGATCCCTGAGTCTTATACACTCACTAATCCCGCTGCTAGTGCTTCACACCCCCTAATTGCATGGTCCCACCTGCTCATTTGGTGGGAACTCCAAAAAAACAGAAAGAAACTCCCTGAAAACAAGTTGATGGCGATTTATCTCCACCCCAGAGGGGAGTGTAGAACTACCCAGTCCACTTCTGAGACTCTGACTCTTAGTGGGAATAGAAAGCTCCACCTTCCCCCCTGACAGGCTGGGGGTTTCCAACTGCTGACCATATGATCACAGCCCAACTCAGCCACGAAGACACTGGACTACAAAGACATGCATAAAAGAGCCATAACAATAAAGTTCATGTTAGCACACTGTTCAGTATATACACCCTCCAAAAAAGTGGACCTTTTAGATTCTTCCAATTCCTTAAGTGCAACATATCTTTATGATAAATATTTGCTCAGATATTTCTAAGAATGGATGCAAACTATGTTTATCCATAAGAGCTCACTTCATGTAGTATGATGAGGAATAACTAGCTTGAGTGAATGGAAAGCATAGATCATTATTTCATTATCCTTTACTTTTCTGTAGGTATAGTACAGAATAGTTGCTTAATTGTTTTTAACCTGTTTTTCAATGGGAATATTTTGTTTCTACAGCAACAAGACAACTGAAGAAATGTAGATATCCAAATCGACTTAAATTTGAGTCCATCTCATCAGATCAGATTGACTTCAGTCATAATGGAACCTTAAGTTACAGATGTAAAGGAAAATCAGATAAAAAATCAATATGCATAAATGGAGTGTGGGATCCCAAGATAACTTGTGCAGGTAAGGTCTTGGGTATAATGTTTTAAAAATTGGATTTTCTTTCCTGCTAACTCATAAAAGTGCAACCTTTCTAACTTGAAAGAAAATACTGATTCATATATTGTAACAATTGTTTTTAAATTTTCAGGATAATTGAGAAACTAATCAGAACCCTGTGCTAAGTAATAACCGCATGGTTTTCAGTAGTTGACTATGAAACAAGCGGAACAGAACTGGAAGCCTCACGTTACTATCTGGCCACTAAGTTCGCTTGTGACCGTTGTCCCCCGACACTCCCGTGCTTTCATCAACGGCATAGAAGAGTTAGTCCATCTTACCCCCTTGCTTATCTGCGGTTCTCTTCTCCAAATTCAGGAACCCTCGTCCCTTTGTCCTCAACACTCTTACCTGGATTTCTAAATCTCACATACGAGGGGAACCCCCTTCAAGAAGGGGAAAAAAGCTCCATTGGTAGGGTTATTAAGTTTAATGGAGAGTACTTTGAAGGTAATAAACTTGCTTTGTAAAAATTTTAAATACATAGCTTTGAAAAAATTTCCATTGGGGGGTGGTACGCCCTCATATACAGACAGTGGTTTCACACCAATCCTAATACAAACCTACTATCTAGAGTTCAACATGCTAATACTTACTTTTTAAGGAAACAAGTAATATTTATATACAGTCAAGTGTACATGTTACTCTGTATTCTAGCCCAGAATTTTTACAATTTTGCCATTTTTATTTATGTATATTATCTTTAAGGAAATTGTCAAGTACAGATTAATGTTCATTTTGTATGATTAGCCAGTTGTGAGGAAATTTTTGAAAAGAAAATAAATTGAATACAGTAGTGGTGGTTTATTGTTGACTCATTTCAGGTAACTTATGTCCTCATCTCGCCTTATGCTCAAATGATACTGCTCTACTGATCACAGTAGCTTCACAGTGAATTGTGAAGCTGGGCATTTTAAAAATTATTAATAGTTGGGAGTTAATACATATATAATATCATGGCATAGTTCAATCACATCAAGCAAAATTGCACAATTGCTACCACAACAAGTTTCCAAACATACTTTTTCTTCCTGGAAACCTCAACATCATCTCCCTTTTACTTCTCACACCCACCTTTGTTCCTGCTCCCCCACCCACCGCAAAAAAACAAGAAAACATTTTCTACTTGATGTCCTTATAGGTTTTCCAATCCTGGGTATCATATACCGAGAAACAGGAAAACACATAGCACAACTTCAAGAGAGTGACTCCCAGTGACATGACACCTCTGAGATACCACTCGATATGAGCAAACAAAAACACAACAAGAACATACAGAAAATGTTGAAAACCAGTTCACGTCAGCATGCATCACATGGGGGATCAACTGAGAAGTGGATCTGTTGTAACTGTTCAAGTCAGGTTTACACCATTGGTTTTCTGTACTCATCTCTCCAGTGCACTCTGTTTAGTGACCGCTTTCCTTTCATCCCTCAATTGTGGGTCGAGGGAGATCAGTAGAGACTTATTTCCTACCTAGTTCCCACAATGTATCTCGGGCACTACTGGCATCCATAGCTTTTGCAAACCAGTTTCTCACAATTGAGGCTGATACTAATCCCTCCTTCGACTTCAGATTATATGATTTACAATCCTTCAATGACTAATGATGGTGTACTTCTTCCATGTGGACTGAGCTGACATCTAACATAGATGGCTACTTGTTTGGAGACAAGACATTAAGACTCCAGATGCTATTATATCTGATAGCCATCCACCACCTTATCCCTTTGCCACATTTTGCTCTAGCACCCATATCTTCTGTGTTCCCTTCCTGAGGATGAGTATTGAGCAGGGCCCGATCTTAGGTTTTCAATCTAAGAACGAACTCTGCTTAAGTTGGTGCTAGGATGTAGTGGAAGCCCAATTTCTGGATCTATGTTTTTCTTTTGTGTATGTTTTTTTTTATCTAACTCTGGTTCCCTTTCAAAAGCCCCTTGTTAATTGATGGCAAATAATCTTAGCAGTCATCTCTTGGGGCATAGTGATCTTCCATTAAAATGGTTTCAATTGGCCCCTGGTACTACTTTCTAAAACCCTGTGAGAGAGGTTATTGGGACAATGTAGGCTAACTCCATATTGCAATACCTGGATTATTTACTTGTACAGAATCAATCGTATCAATGCTAGACACTATTGAAACAAAAATGGGTTTTAATTGTCTTGGAAAATTTGCAATAACTTTCACTAAGAATGTCAGTCATGGGTTTATTGGAATTATATATATAATATAATATAATATAATATAATATAATATAATATAATATAATATAATATAATATAATATAATATAATATATAGCATATGGAGCATTGGTGTAGCAAGACCATGTCTGTCTGCCTACCAGCAGGTCAACAGTCTTGGTACAGCTGTCTTCTGCTTTTGCAGGCACCATAAAATTACAGTCTCAAGTCCTCAAAGTACAAATGTGTTTGAGCTAGAGTCCAGTTCACCCAGTGTGTGTAAGTCAGGGTTGACTAGAAAAACAAATCTAGAGACACTCATATGTGTATAAGAAAGAACTTGATACCAAAGATCAGTTGTATTTTAAACATCACAGCCCAGTCCAGATCAAGTCCATAAATCTGAAATTAGCCCATATGTCCAATATCAGTCTATAAATTCCACTTCAGACTCATGCAACTTATGCAGGGATGCCTTATGCAGGAAGATCACAGGCCAGTGGGTGGAAAGTCTTGTGGATCCAGTGGCTGTGGAAGCATCTCAATGCTGGTTTCTCCCACTCTAGGGCTCTGGCTCCATCAGTATAGCTCCATGTCGCTTGTCAACAAGAATATGTAGCAGAGCGAATGTGTGTCCCGCCTCCAGGGAGGAAGACGGGAGTTCCCACAGTCCTCAGGAGAAGGCCATGACCACAAAAGCATGATTGGCTATGAACAGATTGCCATGCTAGCCTCCACCCCTATAACTACTTAAAAGTTGACGTGAAATTATGTAACTTCCACGCAGTGAATATTCCGCATTGATATTACTTAGCAGCCTCTGGAGCATGCCATATGCCCTGAAGGCTTATCAGCGTTCCATGGCAACCAGCTGATTCCCCAGGATGTGCCCAGAAACTCAGGTTAATTTGGCCTATTTGGTGCATTTCACCAGGGACAATCCTACCCTAGTGTCCCCCAAAATATTTGTAGTCACCACCACCACCCCTCACATATCTGGAGGATGGCCCTCCCTCTTTGCCTACCAACAGACAGGCATTTGTCCTCGCCCCTGGCCCCGGTGTGTTAGCACCCTTTCCCATCTCGAGTCATTTTCCTTACCAGTATCCCTCATCCCTCTGATAATGTTGTCCACCTGTATGGGGGATCTACCTTATGATGGATTTACATGGCTGCCATTCAGTAGACAACTTCCCTTTCACACCCCGCCCCCCACCTTTGACCATTTGATCCCAGGTGCTGTGAGGTGCCCTCCACTAAAGTGACCTTCAAAATACTTACCTAGAGCAGATGGTGTGTAGTTATAAATAGTGTGTCAACTTGAGGGTAATAAAAGTATAGGGGTGAAGTCTAGCCTGTCCATCAGGTCACAGCCTGATGATACCTTCTTGTGGGCGTGGCCTTCTCAGGAGGATTCTGAGAACTTCCTCTCTTTCTCCCTGAAGGTGGCCAAACTCTCTCTATGCCTTCATCTTCCTGTTGACAAGCTAGGAAGACTTGCTGAGTTCTAGAGGACCCACTCTCTCCTTCATCTTCCTGTTGACACACTCAGAGAACTGGAAGAGCCTAGTGGAGACCCACTGCAGTGCTGAGATGCATCCATGGGCATTGGATCCACAAGACTTTCCACTCACTGGCCTATGATCTTGCATTTTGCATCATTGCAAGTGTTGCATGGGTTTGAAGAGGAATTTATTGACTAATATTGATCATATGGGCTATATCAGACTTATGGAAATGACCTGGACTGGGCTAGGATATTTCCATAATATACAATTACTCTCTGATATGAAACTTTCTTATAATATATAAATGTCCCTGGATTTGTTTCTCTAGTCTAACACATTTGTTCCTCTAGTCTAACCCAGTCTAACACATGGTGTATGGTTCATTGGCATGGGGCAGACTCTCTACCAGCCTTTCTGGTACCCCAGCAGGCAGACTGGATGCCCTACAATCCTGAGCTTGTGCCCATTCTGCTGCTTGTTCACACAGCAGTGGACTCATACATTATTTGTCCTTTTGTGATTGACAGACTTCAATCAGCACTCTGTCTTCCAGTGCCCTCCACATCTTCTGGGGTTTCATGCTTCCATTGCTGTATTTTAGGCATGCATAGTCTTTCATTGCGTACATGTCCCAGAGTTTTTACTCCAATATTCTACTGATGGGAATTTAGGATTTCTAAGTCCTTGCTATCGTGAAGTGTGCTGTAATGAACATACGGTAGCAAACATCTGTTCATGATCTGCTTATTATTTCTTATTACTGGGTCTATGCCCAGAAATGGTCTTCCATTGCCATCTGTTTTAGGCATCACCAAGCCACCTTCCACAGTGGCTTGACTTATTTACAACCCCAACAGCAGTGGATAAGAATTCCAATCTCACACCACCTTTCCCAGCATTTGTAGTTTTCAGCTTCTTAAAATTAGGCTGTAGTTATGAGTGTTAGATGGTATCTCATGGTGTTTTAGCTTGAATTTCCCCATGGCTAATGCACAAGAGCATTTCTGCATGTGTTTATTACTCATTTGAGGGTCATCCTCTGTGAATCAGCTGTTCAAGTCTTTTGCCTACCTTCTCAGAGGGGTACTAGTTATTTTTCTAGTACACTTGTAAAATGTTATGTATTTTAGTAATTATTCCATTTTCTTTTATTAGTTACTAAATATCTTTTCCCAGTCTGTGGGTGCTCTTTCAACTTTCTGATGAAGTCTTTTGATGAATACAAGTGCACTATTTTTAATATGTCCTACTCATTGATTTTGTCATCCATGGAGTGTGTTTCCTTTGGTGTCTAATAACTTGTGTATTCCCTGCATTAGGGAACTTTGATTTGATCCAATTTTCTCATTGATGATCTTGATAGCTTTGCATTTTACATTTAGCTCTTTGATCCACCGAGAGCAGTGGTTCTCAACCTGTGG